CCTATGAGTCTGCAGAGTTTGGGGTGCAGGAGCTGAAGAGACAAGCTTACTCATGCTGCCTTTGAAGTGAAAGCGTAGGGGTATTCGCAGCACCGATCAGGTAAATGTCAATGTGTTGCAGGGTCCGTCCGCATGGCCGTATAGCAGCTGCGCGGATCGCGGCATTTGCTTCTCGTGCCGAAAAGTTTTGTGTGTGTGTGTGTGCGCGTGTGTGTCTGTGTGCAGTCGTGTTTGCATGTGTTTTGGCACTAGCTCCTACGTGTTAAAAGTTAGTAAATACAAAGAACAGCACGAGCATATGAGGCCTCTCTGCTTTAATCTAGAGTTTTTGACAAGAGGATTGAAGTCCACAAAATGAAAGAGTAGGATAGCTGTAAGCAACTGCTTTTACGTGTAGATGTAATCTGAGTAAATTAATTAGTGGTGTTGGGCAACTGTTGTGTTTGTCATCATAGCTCTAGTGACCACAAGCCACACAGGTTTGTGTCTATCCGCCATATGAACTCACCGTCTCTTGGTTTACAATGCAGTATATGCAATTACTCTTCAGATGAGCTTTGAAAAAAAAATCGTATTTACTGTCAATACTGCCTTTATGGGAGCTAATCTACTTGAAAATGTTGCAGACTGCCTTCAGTTCCGTGTCAGATCCCAAATGGGCAAAGTGTAGAGCTTCACAACGTTTGTCAGACTATGTCAGGGCTGCTCTAAGTCTTTAACGTGAAAACAAAGCAAACTCGACTGAAAGAGCTTGCTGAAGTCTGTTTAGCCCATAAGCAAATTCCGTCACTGAAATATTTCCAAGGAGTGGCAATAACCCCTCCAAAAGAGGAGGCGATGAAAATGCAGATAGTAAAACTGAAGCCGCATTAACTACCTCTAGATCATGTCCCTGAAGACGTCCATCAAAGCGCTAGTCCTGGAGAGGTTTTGTGTTTTACCTGCTGTGGCCTGTTCCAGTATCACAGTGTTTCCTTCATGTTTCATGTTTTTTTATGATAAAACTTGTATGAACATTGGCTCCAGTTTCTCAGGGAAGAAGCACAGAGCCCTCGAAGATATACTTAATTTGGCTTTGGTACCCAAATAGCTGCTCTGGGTGTGCAAGATTACTCTTAAGAAAGCGAGAAACTCTCCAGCGTTTCCTATTGATCGAGAGGGTTTTACTTTCTCTAACTTTGGAGAAAGCTCTACTTGTTTATGTTTCTCGAGTGTTGTTAACTGTTTTGCACAGACAAGGGGCTTGACGAGGATCAATTTTTATTGCATAGCAAATGCTTACATTTTCCAAATGCTTAAGGATATAGCCCACAGCATTAAGCGTCTTTACTTGGATTTGAACAGTGGTACGTTGTTAATGTGCGAGAACCACAAAGGTTATTTTAAATCATTGTGAGTCTTATGGCGTGTTTGTGCTCTGGCACCAGAAATTCACGATGAAATATAACTTTGTGGAGCTTCTTATCTACAAAGGGCCATTATTTGTAGATTGCAAATGAAACAGGTCCTGAGACTTTGGGGAGGATAGAATGTCTGCTTTTAGGAACTGATTGCTTTGTGCTATATATATATTTATATATATAAAGTTTGTTGTTATTGTTCTACCCTAATTACTGCTTTCTAGGGAATAGAGATTGTAGTTGGCACAATGTTGACCGGTAAAGGAATAGAGCAGGGAAGCTGTAAAGAAAAACGACAAATAATTATAATGATTAATAAGGAAAAGTTCAGTGAAAAACAAAATGGACAACGGCCTTTTTCCATGGTTTAGGGCAGTGAAAGACAACTGAGATATATAAAAACACGAGGACTATAAATATTGAATTTCACCTTGTATTTTGAAGTTTAATAGACTCATGTAAACACCAAAACCTGGAGTGTTCTGAGGCTATGAGGTTGACATCTGCAGTAGTATCTAAAGAGGTGGGGGGGCGGGAAACAAAACAACTCCCAAAGTCTGACTTGGAAAACTGCAAGGACTTCTCGAGGCAGTTCCCTAACTCTAGCGACTAATTATAGTGCTTTACAAGGAGCCACTCTTGAGATAAGTACAACTGTTTCCCTCCTCGGCAGCGGCGAGTTGTACTCCGGGGCTTAAATAAACAATCCCCAGTGTAATCAGCACAGGAGGCAGAGGGAGCAGTACAAAACGCTGCGCGCAGGCCATTGTGTAAACATTGGGCGCCCTTTTCTGCCAAAACAATGCAAAACAATAGCGGCGAGCCCTCCATCACGCTGCCTAGAAGGAAGCTGCTTGCAAATAGTACCGCGAGTGCCATTATATCTTGGAAGCGCTGGGGTACCGGGAGAAATAAAGAAGCGTTTCAGGACTGTAACTGAACCCCAATGGCTCAGTTATTAATATCCCCTGAAATAAGATGATATTAGCTTTTCAGGAGATAAAAGAATAAACACTTTTTTCCCTTTCCCTCTCTCCCCTAAATCAATACAAAATTCAAATCCGATTATTAATGTCATTTGATTCCCGTTCTTTAAACATTTCTCCCGGCTACAGATCCTAAAATGTGAGGATAATTTGCATATACTGTGTCGGATATCCTTTATTTGCAAACACTCTAAGGCTCCACAAAACGATGTTCGCTGTAGTCTAACTCGATCCGAGAACTAGTATTTTCGTCTGTAAATTAAAGCAATTACGCAGCAGATATTATATTATGTGTACTGTGGTCTCCAGATAGTCATCAATCACCCTCAATCGAGCTGTCAGTGTGGGCAGATTCGTTTCTGGGAGGCAGTCTTCCAGCTGGGGAGAAGAAGAGAACATCATCATTAATTAGAGTGTGACCCTGGGGCTATTCACATGTCTGAACCCAGGAATCTCTCGGAGCAAGTCTGCGCAGCGTGGCCGCGCTCCCCGCGCTGCCTCCGCGGCCGGCGGCTGCAGTGGCCGCTCCGCTCCGCTCCGCACCGCGCAGCGCAGCGCACGGCCGCCCGGGATGCCCCCGGGGTCTGCAGACTGCTGCGGGGGGAAGATGGTTTGGGCAATACCCGGGGGTCCCGCCGAGATGCTG